GCCTAAAAATGCCTAAGAGCTGCTGAGCATGTGCAGAGCAGAGTGAGACAGAGTATTACTGGATTTTAAACAGTATATGCACTTATTTTTCATGTTTTACCTGCAAAAGGGTCCAGAATGAAGTGATCTAGCAGGACCTCATTTTCTGATTAAAGTTCCACCTTAATACTGATGCATCACAAGTATTATCATGTATTTTAAAGTGCTTTAATGTACAAGCACTAAGAAGCACTAAGACCTGTCAATGACTACACTTATCATAACTGATCAGAAAAGTGACCAGAATTACAGTCTGGGCTGGGGCTAAAAGGAATATCATGCTGAAACTGAAACCATTATAATGACTACTATCCCAAAGCGGATTTGTTTCATCAGCCTGAAGCTCTGTTATGTGGCTATTTACAGAAAAGGTAAAATATCTATCTATTGTTTCTAGCACGGACAGTACAAAAAATGGGCCTGATTGACATATCAAAGGAAACTGAAGTTCCATTTCCTTCACCCCATATTTACAAATTAGCGCTGATGTCTGCTAAGTAGAACAGAAGCCTTTTTCAGAAACTGGCTTTGTGGCCATGAGCCGAAAGAGACATTTGTAACAATGTTCAACAAGTGCAAAACGTATGTTCAAGACATGCATTCCTACACATGTGCAACTGGGACCTCCATGTGACACAACCATGTCAGGACTTGGTTGTTCAAGCAGCCACAAACATCCAAAAGTTTTGAATGCTCCCAATAGAATCAATAAAGTTTCAATAACATATAAAACAGTTATTTTCACTCCATTCAGTTACTAATTAGTGGCACACCAAAATGAAAATTCTGGACCGAAGCCGAAACAGGAATTTCAGAATGCGCTTTGCCAAAAAAAAAACGTTTTTTAAAAAAAAATATATTTTTTATATCTAATTGTATTATGTTTCACTTTTTAATTAATATCATGAATTTTAAAAAAATCCAATCCAATCACGTAAAATAACTTTTATTGAAAGTAACACACAAAAATTGGACAGAAAAAAATGAAATATATAAAATTTAAAAAATGTAAATAGAGGCATTTGTGCACCGAAGCCAATAGGGGGCACTCTTGCATTGGCGTCAATGGGACTCAATTTTGCACTGAAGTCAATAGGGGCGTTTTTTCATTGTAGTCTATTGGACAAGATTTTGCATTGAAGTCAATGTGATGCGGTTTTGCATGGAAATCAATGGGACGTGATTTTGCATTGAAGTCAATGATAATTCTTGGCGGCTTTTTTTTTCTATCGGCAAAACACCGATAACCCTAGTTACGGCCGATAATTTTTGGCGGCATATATCGGTGCAGCACTACTAATTATCAATTATGTCCAACTGCTTTGAATGACATTTTCAAAAAACATATGGCTACCTATATAAAGGAACTAATGTATCTCAACTGTAGGGTGACCAGTATCACTAAGAAAGAGAACCATTGTGAGTATTGTCACAGAGAAAATGGTATAGTTGTACCCAAAACAAGAGGTAAAGGGAAATTCAATGGGAACACCTGTTCCAAGAACAACTGTCTAGAACGTGAATTCCCCTCACTTTTGGAGATTTCTAACTTATGCAGGCCATACATGGGTTGAATTCCGAACTAATTTTCTTTAGAAAATCGAAAATTTTGTGCGTTTTGTAATCCAATTGTGCCACCGTTGATTTAAATATTCAACCAAGGCTTCAATCTAACCTCGTGTTGCTACACAAAAAATTTTTCGTAGCCAAGAATTATTTTTTCTTTCCAGATCACAACTCATGCTTGTTTCTATTTCGTTTATATTTTTTGCATGATTCTCCCATCATTGATTCGAAATTCGTTTGTTTTTCAAAAAATTTCCAACATGCCCGTCACACGAAAATCGTCCATTTCTGTGACCCACTAATGGTGCAAAATTCTAACGAAAATTCTTAGAAAAGGTTTTCGAAAGAAAATTCTTTCAGAATTTGACCCGTGTATGGCTGGCTTTACTGTTACATCTCTAGGACATGAAATTACATTTCTCCAATGGTACACATGCAACAAAAAAAAAATCCAGTAGTTGTTTTAAGTTTCCTTCTCATGGGCGATTTTGTGCCTACTGTAGGTAACCACATAACTAGCTGTTACCTGCAGGTAGGTATGGATGTCTGACCCTGCTTGTATCTGTCGGCATCCAGGGTTGCTCACCCTTCCCTAATCACAGGTAACCACCCAATGGCTCCTCTCAGCCTGTCATTGATTTGTACAGGTTAAATGACTGCAGCTGCTTGCATACACCTAAGATTCCAGCCACGAAAATCCCTAGTCTTGTTGTTGGAATTTGCTGTATGGTCATAATCCCAAGAGCGAAGGAGGCTTTAACCCTTCCAGAATTTTCCAAAACTAAAAAACTGTTTTGAATAGTTTTTTATTTTCAGTATAGAAACCTCAACTAATGTTTCAGGTGCTTTTACCACAGACACATTTAAAAAATGTTTTCTCATGCTTTGATTTAAGTATTCTTTGACAAAGAAACCTTACTAAGACACCAAAAAGCATTAAAAAAATGCGTATTAAAAACGTTTGCTTAAATAGAGTCAATCAGCATAAATATCTCGGAAGCACTCTAAGGAATATTGAGATACCGTCTTCTTCACAAATAAGTCCACCACCTCCTGCCTTTTACAGGAAAAGAACTATAAAATGATATCTAGATGGTATATTGACTCAGTAGGGGGGATTTACTAAAACTGGAGCACTCAGAATCTGGAGCAGCTGTGCATGGTAGCCAATCAGCTTCTAACTTCAGCTTGTTCAATTAAGATTTGGCAATACAACCTGGAGGCTGATTGGTTTCTATGCAGAGCTGCACCAGACTTTGCACTTTCCTGCTTTAGTAAAAAAAAAACCCAGTCTCTCTACTACAACAGAAACATTTTGTAGATGAAGAGGAAAGAGGAATGTACTTATATATCTGGTTGGAATGTTCATCAATAAGCAAATTTTGGTCTCAAATATTCAGTATACACAATGAAATCTTTGGAGAACCGCTTTCCCCTTCACCAAAGATTGCTCTACTGTCCATTCTCCTGAATTCTAGAAAATACCACAAACAATCTTTACATAGGTTTTTCCTGGTGGTGGCTGTGACGATCGCGGCATCAGACCCCAGCCCTTCTCACCAAACTCGTGACCGAAGGACTAGCCAATCTTAAACCGCGCTGTCACATGCATAACAATGCCACGCCCAGCTGCACCCTGCACAAAGATTTTCCAGCTAATGGACCACAACCTGTGTGCCGGCAGCCTGGGAGCGATTGTTACTGGGTCAGGTTAATTACACAATTAACCCTTCACACTGCCACCACCTCCTTTTTGTACAGAGAAAGAGGAAACTCGGCAATATCAGCAATAACACTATGATGTTTGCATAAGCATCGGTATACCACTTTCACTGCAGGCAGCGATATACCGAAGTTTAAAACACACACACAATAGCGCTCTTCAGAGGCAGGGGTGCTTAGTTTGCATTAAAGAGCTTTAGAAACAGTTCAACACTTTCAGAAAGTAAGATTTATTACTAAAAGGTCAAAAGGGTGCAATAAAAATATTTACAGAAAAAACGTAGCCAATATATATATATAGATATACAGACAACAATAGCACAGCAAAGAGATAACAGAAAGAAGTTTAGAGGGTTAAAGTATTTGCCGTTAGCCTTGGGTTAAGCAGATCAGGTTTCAGAGCCAAAAGGCCTTATCTCCCAAAGTTAGTTCCAATGTTAAAAAGGGAGATTCTTCAACTTTTTTCCACTCAGCTTAGCTTAGCTTTTTCTAGGAACTCAGCAGGGTGTCTCCCTGAAGCAGAGAACCAATCGCCTCATTTGGGGAGGGGTGCTGGGGCGGAGACCCAAGCTAGAACCAAAAACTCTCCCTATTGATGTCATGGTTCATAACTTATTCTCGGTGCATTTAGCAGCCTTGCCACTAGTAGATTAATATGCAGACGCATCTGCTGAACGGTTAGATATGAAATATGACATATCTGCTTGAATGGTTAAGGAGATATAATTTTCTGCTCTCCTGTATATGCCAGCTAGGGGTGTAATATACCAGGCGACTTGTCTTAAAGTAAGCCGTCCGAATATGTGCTCCCTGTTTATGTAATTATGTCCTATTTGAAGATATAAAATTATATGGAAAAGTGAGTTTTTAAATGTAAGTCTGTTTTACGACTCCCTGGAATGTCTTTTGAAGCTCAATGAGGGCTTGGTTTATGGCTTTATAACCCCTTCTCCAGCAAGAGTCTCACAGACAGAGGGGCACCAGCTAGTTGTAGGATTTATAACTCTGATGCCCTCCCACTGAGTTTGCTGCCTGTGATCTGCATCAAACAGACCGCGTCACTCAAAAGAGAGGGAGGGGGGATGAGGAAAGCTGATTTAGGAGTAGAAATGATAAAAAATGGAAGATTCTTAACAAGATGGATGGCTGCGTCCATCTCTGTATGCACAACTTCTACAGTGGCCCCCCAAACCATCCCTCTTTATTGGAAAACCATAAGGACAACCCCATCCCAATAGGTCAGTACAAACCAATGACATTATGCGCATGGAGGAATTATTAGCTATAGACACAGACATATTAGAAACATTTTATACTCAATGAGCTTGGATGCTTTTCCCTAAATCTCTCTAAATTGTTAAATTGTTACCAAACCGAAACCAGTAAAATCTGTCTGTATATGCAGTAAAGCATGCTTGGTATACTTACTGTGGAACCTAAGGGGTTAATCCTCTGCATTGTGTAACAAGGCTGTTTGATCCTGGCTTCTCTGATCCTCCCCTTCTTCCAGTGTCCCCCTTATCTCCTGATAAGACATATTGTGTGAAGTTACTCTGCACAAGCTCAGTTTGGTGTGTATTGCTAGAGGTTTTTTTTTTTCTTGGGAGAGGGCATGTGATCAGCACAGGGTCAATCAGCACTGTCCAGACAGAGGTCAGGGGTCCTACATCCTCCTAGAGCAAAATGAAAACTCCTCCTACAAGCTTTAACCAGTGCTCGGCTGGACACTGAAAGAAATCACAAGACTGCTCTAACTGCTGATGAGAAAAGGTATTTAGCAGTTTATATTTACTAAAATAACTGCATTTCCATGTTCTGTGTACTGTGGGAGACCAGATATAGTGAATGCAGAGCCCTGGGTTTAGTAACACTTTAACCAGTGCTCAGCTGGACACTGATAGAAGTCACAAGACTGCTATATACTGCTGCTGATGAGAAAAGATATTTAGCAGTTAATATTTACTAAAATAATTGCATCTCCATGTTCTGTGTACTGTGGGAGACCAGATATAGTGAATGCAGGGTCCTAGGTTTAGTAACACTTTAACAAATGCATTTTTACTAACACTCTCCTACATCTCTTCCTCCCATGTTTATATTTTTGGTCTTTCCCCGGGTGGAACCCTAAGGCCTTTCAGACAGGTCTGCCTGTCAATTTTTCAGGAGGACCTGATCGGAAGGTCCATGCATCCCTATCGACAGGTGGATGTAAACAGAATTTTGTCTGTTTACACCCACCTTCCTCCAGGTCCGATCAGGCCTGCTAAAAAAAAAAAAAATGGAAGATGATTTCATTCTTTCCCCTTCAGGTGGAGTGGATCAGAGGTAGCTGGGTGTAAATGGACAGCTGAGTCTGTTTACTCCTGGCTGCCCACTGAGCAGAGCTGGCTCTGTCCATGTCCTGCATAAACCGAGCAGGAACGGATGTGTCATCCACCCGCTCTGCTTTGATCAGCAGGAGATCAGCTCACAGATACCCTGCTGATTGGAAGACCTTACTCTAATCTTCTTTGTTTTTTTTATGTAACCAATTCCCCTCCCCCCACCTTCAACCATTTTTTATAATCGTTTAAAAGCATTCTTTTTTTTCCTTGTGACAGAGGCTTTTCCTACACGAGTCATGCCTTATTAATCTCTTTCTAAAGAAGACGTTTAATGACAGATCAGAAGGATATACCGATTGCCATTTACAATATCGACTAATATAAACCTTCCTTAGAGTTTATTTCCACAACATATGTTTGATCACCAATGGCATTATGACTATTCCTGATAGCGTGTCGTCAGTATCTTTTATATATCTGTTATGTCTGTAACATTTGTTATCGCACAATAAAAATTCAACCACAAATAGGGTGAGTAGTGCCCGAATGGCTGCTACAGGCAGGTTGACTACACTAGTCAACTTTTTATTCATCAATCCCAGCACATTCATACCGGATGACAGGCTGGACATGCTGTTTTATAGTCCTCTTCCTTCACATAGGAATTCAATAATGTTGTGGAGGGAAGGATTTTTTTTTCAGACAAAGAAAAATGCTAAGACAAGACGTTCATTGTTAGAAGCTGGAAGGTGGTCAATCAGAGGGACAGTGAAGACGTATTCCACAAATAGGGTGAGATTCCTCAAATTCCATACTAGCAGAGGTGGAGAGCCGGGCATATTGTCTCAAATTTGGAAGCAGCTTGTATCTGAATCCATGCCAAGAACAAAACTGTGAAATTTATAACACATAAAAAAAGTCCGATATGCACACAGAAGCTGCCTACTAAGTTTGCGTCATTCCAACCTTTTTACCTGCTGTGGTTTTGTTCTGAAACAACTTAGACTACAAAAACATTCCCTTCTCTGTTTGTACCTGGAACTTCGGTTATATACATGATATAATTCAGTTGCAGACAGCTTTAGGTTCTACCCAGTTTGACAGATTTATGTGACTGTGAGATAAATTCAGCTGCTGACACTTGCTAGACTTGTAGTTTACAAATGCAAGAAGCAAGCCAAGACTTATATATTGGATGCAGATGATTTTGATTAACTTTATCTGTGCCTACTGACAGATTTAAAGTGGATATTAACGAGATAAAAAAAACAGCTTGAAGGAGAACTAAATTGTGACGTTTTTGTAATATTATTTCAAAATATCTCTGAAGATATATTGCAGTCAAATCAAGAACCTGTACATACTGTACAATCATGAAAATGGGGAACAGACTTGTATTCAAAAAACCAATAAGACAGTCTAATGCATGCAGCCAAAACAGTGGGGTTGATTTTCTAAAACTGAAGAGTGTGAAATCTGGTGCAGCTCTGCATGGTAGCCAATATGCTTTTAATTTCAACTTGTTCAATTAGTGTTACTAAACCCACAACAGTAAAATCAGCCTGTATATGCAGTAAAGCATGCTTGTTATACTCACTGAGGAACCTAAGGGGTTAATCCTCCGCATTGTGTAAAAAGGATGTTTGATTCTATCTTCTCTCATTCTCCCCTTCCTATACTTTCCCCAATCCATCTGCTGATAGAACAGAACCTTGGGTGAAAGCTGCACATGCTCAGTTTGGTGTGTATTGCTAGAGAGTTTTTTTTTCCTTGGGAGAGTGCATGTGATCAGCACAGGGCCAATCAGCACTGTCCAGGCAGAGCGGTCAGCAGTTATGCAGCCTCATTGGACAATCAGGGGAGAATGAAAACTCCTCCTACAAGCTTTAACCAGTGTTCTGCTGGACACTGATAGAAGTCACAATACTGCTCTAACAACTGATGAGAAAAGGTATTTAGCAGTTTATATTTACTAAAATAATTGCATTTTCATGTTCTGTGTACTGTGGGACACAAGATATAGTGAATGCAGGGTCCTGGGTTTAGCAATACTTTAAGCTTCAAAAAAACTGGAAGCTGATTAGTTACCATGCACAGCTGCACCAGATATTGCACTCTCCAGTTGTAGTTAATGAACCCCAGTGTATTCAGCCATATGGTTTACTCATTGCAACTCTTTGGGTTGACACTGTGGTACTCATTTTATTCACCAACATCACTAAGCAGGCCTCATGTATCAGATCACTGATGGTATGTAAGGTTCTAGACAGTGAAATCTGCAGCTTTGCCCACACATATTGCAAGCATAAGGGCCCATTTTCACTACTGCATTTTACTTCTGTTTTTTATATGATCTCTTTGCTCTTCCCTTTCCAAAATTGGCCAAGCATGAACTCTGTCTGCTGTGAGCATGTCTGATCTTGTCCAGAAATTATCATTTGGTTGAAATATGGAAGCACAGCTGGCTGCCATCTGCAGTCTTGGCAGTCCCCACAGATACCCACTGGTTAATAGATTTTGTAGTAGACTATAATATTGGTTCATTTTCGCCAAGCGCTGCAACAGCTTAAGATCAATTGGAAACCATCACAATCCTTCCATTACTACCCTGGTCTGGACTAAAGAGCAGTAAAAAGCACAGCCTGTACCAAACCACTGCATCAATCTAACACATTTTGATTACTTTATGAAGCTTTGATCCATACTTTACAGATGGAATGTACAAAATGTCTGCAAATACCATATATTTCATGAGTCCACTGTATTTATGAGGTGTCATGGAGCAGGGACGTTCCAGTTACAAATCTAATCTTCAAACTTCAGCATTTAAAGAATTCTCCAAGTCATTATATAAGAAGAGCTTGCTTAAATAAATCATATCATCATCCTTAAAGTATAGGTTAGGGGAAAATAACAAGAAAAAAAAGAAGAAAATGTACAAAAGTACCCGTTGATCTTTTAGAAATCCAGTATGCTCCAAACTTTCTGTTTCGGCTGACATTTGTGGCAATTAAATGCCAGCCAGCTATAAAAGTACTGTGTACTGGACTACAAAGCTCCAGTGTGCTTACAACAGTAGGAACTGAGCTTTCAGCAATTGCCCCTGCAAGACTTTTACAGTAGAAAAGACAAAAATCCCCAGCGCTCAAGAGTGGTGTACTAGTGATGGATGGATATTAGGTCCTTAACACATCCAATGATGGCGCAGGCTTTGCTGCCCTCTAAGGGTCCGGGAAACCAAGAAAAACACTGTAAAACAAGGGAAAAGGGGTGCACAACCTAGTGCATTAGCTGGGAAATAACTAATGCACAAGGCTGGTTCCCCTTTTCCCTTGTTTTACAAGACTTTCACAAGCCTGGTGATGATGTCACAATTAGTATACAAATGTGTTCCTTGCTACAAGAACAAAGTAAAAGAAAAAATCGTTGAGTATGCTCTAGTAGGTGAGAGGGAGGTTTGAGAGTAAATCAAGGTAATGTCTACACTATCTGGGGCAAGGTGGCAGAGCCTTTAACAAGTTTACCCTCCGACCCACCTATACTCACATCGTCCACTCTCCCCACTACTATGAATAAGAGACATTTATTGGTAGAGTTTAAATATATATATATTTTTTTTGCTATAAATGGAGACACATTAAAAAAAAAAAAAGTAATGTAAATACCCTGAATAGACATCCCGCCGCTAGTGCTCTTTCAGAGCAGCAATAACTGTTTGCCAGGAAAAAACAAAAGAGGGACATGGTGGTCATTGATATCCCAGTATATGTCAAACTACTAATTTAGTAGGTTATCTGCTAATATTTATGGATACCTTTACCTTTGCTCAGTCAACAGAAACTGATTATTGCCTTATATGTTTGTAAATCCCCAGCTTTCCTCTGAGCATGACAACAGTTTCCCGTTTCTCTAATAGAGCCAAGGATCCTTTATGTCATGGAAAGTGATGTCATCAGCATCTGAAAGCCCCCTCCTTTCTGCCCTTTCCATTTACATGAGCAAGAGTTCTTATTTAAGTGTATCTAAACTCATAGACAAAAAATTAATATACTGCAGCTTATCAGTCCTTAGATTTGGTTGCTGCATTAGGTTTCATTCTTAGTTACAGTTACATAGTTAACTTCAGTTTTTTTCATTAAAGTAAACAAACATATTATATTTACCTGCTGTGAGCAATGCTTTTTGTCTTTAATCTCCAAACACGGAAAGGTTTCTTCACAGTAAGAGCTGTAAAAATGTGGAATAGACTCCCTCAAGAGTTGGTTCTGGCCAGCTCAGTTGATTGCTTCAAAAAGGCCTAGATTCTTTCTTAGATACACAGAATATAACTGGATACTAACATTTATAGGTAAAGTTGGTCCAAGGAATATCCGATTGCCTCTCGGGGGATCAGGAAGACATTTTTTTCCCAGCAGGAGCAAATTGGATCATACTTTGCTGGGTTTTTTTTCTTCCGCTGGATCAACTGTGGGTATAGGATTATAACATTTTAATTTTTTGGTTGAACTGGATGGACTTTTGTCTTTTTTCAGACAGACTAACTATGTAACTATGTAACCTATCATATAATAGTAAAATATTCAGTCAGGTTGAAAAAAAAAAGTCCATTGAGTTCAACCTCCATATACAGAATCCTATACTCACAGCTGAACAGAGACCCAACTTGCTCCAGTGGGGGAAAAAGATTACATCCTGACCCCCCCCCCCCCAGGAGGGAATCAGATATTCCCTGAATCAATTTCCCCTGGTGTTTTTATACCTATAAATCTTAATATCTAGCTATAGTTTGTATATTTAGGAAGGGATCCAGCCCATTATTAAAACAATCTACTGAGCTGGCCAGAACCAGTTTAACTAACTGGTATAACTAGCAATACAGTAGCCCATGGATGTTCATTCTGAAAGGAAAAGCGATGATACCAGGGTCTGATCTTTTGTGTAAAATTGCCTTTACTACTGTGTGAGACATCTTTTTTTTGTCTTGTGTAAGTAAACCATAAGGAGTGTGGTGCATTGATATTTAGTATGTCTGCCTTTTTGGCTTTGATGCTAGCTACATGATACACTGTTTGTATACACATGTCCCCAATTCTTGATAAGGTGGACATTTTTCTAGGTCATGAAAGGTTTAACCCATATATCTCTATACTCAACCTCCTTCTAGCCTGATAATGATAAGCTGTGTGTTCTTCTCACAGCACCATGGATACTTTTATCTTCAGGGCTTCCCTAATTCTTTCTTTTTTTAGAATGTTTACCAGTTAATTATGAATGTGTTTGTGCCCTGATCTGAAGCTAGTATTAAACCATAAATCATTCTACGAATAAACAGTGCCGATCTTTAGATGTCTGAATGACATGAGTAACTCTTGATGAAAAACAAATATCGCATGTTGGAATTATCTAGAATCAATATGGCATAGGAAACTGCATATAGTTGAGAGCAGTCATTCTCAACCAGGGTTCCATAAAATCCTACGGTTCCTTCAGAGGTTACTGGAGGTTCCTTGTGCTGTGGCTTACTGACTTTCCTCTGGATGGTGTCTGCACAGTTCCATGACCAATGCCATTTGCCAAAGCCAACAGCATGGCACCAGTGAACCTTTTAGCTGTCCGTAAGGATGGCATTCTGTGCACCAATATAAGGGTTACATTCTTCCTACAGACCACCAATGTATGAAGCGTTTTTTTTTCCCATTGCCCCCTTATGAACTGGTTTTAGTAAGGTTCCCTCTCACTTGACATGTGACTGGAGTCCATCCCCTTTTGGTAATAGAGGAGGATAAGGTTTGGTGGTCATACATTTGATAAAGCCCACTGATAGAGACGCTTTGTGATTCCCCTGCATTACAATTTGGACGGTACAGACATGTATGACCTTCCACCCCATGGTGGCCCCAGTGTGTTCCAATTGGGCTGTATTTGGGCATTGGATGTGACCTTATGTTGGTCGAGTGAGCAAAGCAACCTCCATTTGGATTTAGCATATACGAATGTACATTACCCTTGCTTTCACCAGTTGCATTTGACATTTCCTACATTTTATTCCCTGAAGAAGGAAATCTTTTTTCGGAAACACATTGGGTGATCTTGTTTAACATTGTCGCGAGATTGAATTACAGATTTTTTCTGTTAGTGGGAAAAAGAAGTGTGGGACACGTTTGTACTCATGTGCTTCAACGTGATGCATGTATTAACATAACAGCCATAACTGAGTTCTTACCAACATTTTATTGTTTTTTTTATAAATTAAATTTTTTTTATAACACAGCTGGAGTAAATTGCCTTCAGAGTCCCACTAGGGGGAGTTTTTCTGTTTATAGTAAGGTTCCCTGAGACCTGGAAATTATCTTAGAGCAGAGGTGTTCAACCTTTTAAAGAGAAAGGGCCATTTAAGTGATTTGGTAACCGGTCGCAGGCCACTAGGATAATAAATTGTTCAGAATTTCATTTTTTTTTTTTTTTACATTTTATTTTGAATAGAATAATGAATATTTTTAAACAGGACCATCATTTTCTGTGGGACCAATGGATGTTTACCCACTGTTTAATCACAAAAAAAAAATCAAATTTTTTATTGACCAGATTACCATTAATCCCACTCCTGCACTCAAGTGTGACCAGCCAAAAAAGCTCTGAACCAGTGTTGCAGCCTTCATCAGGGTCTCTGCAGCCATCACTCGAATTGCCAAAACAGGGTCTGTAGACAACCTAAACGAAAAACAACATACCAGGGAAGCACATGCCCTAGTATGCCCTAGTAGTGCAATAAACTTATATAATAAGCAAAGATAAAATGACACATAATTCAGTCACATGCTCCTGGAATGACACCAAGCACATCACACAACTGTGAGAATCCACCTTCAGAACCCCTGTATGGATGCCACTAGATGTAATCCATTTGGCTAAAGGCTCTTCTTCCTGTGTCTGTGTGTTAGGAGGGAAAGTGAAGAGCAGGGAGCCGACCACAATAAGGGCTTGTTAATGACAGCCTCTGGGATTATGGAGAGCAATCATTCAGTAGAGCAGAGTGCACCCGAAGGAGGCTGTGCCGGTTGCCAAAGTTTGATGTCACAGGCCAAATCAGACAGCTCTGCGAGCCACATTTG